TTTTTAGAATTTCATCAATTCATAATATTAATATTTTTATGAAAGACTTGTTAGTAAAATAGTATTCATTGGTCATATTCATAAAAGAAATATTGTCAACAATTGTTTTGAAGTATTTACAACTGATCGGTATATAACTTTTTCGATTAATTCACACTAGAGTCGTTTCGTTCGTACTTATACCACAGATAAAAGTCTTGTTCCTCAGTATACTCTCAGAGTTTTAGTTATAAAGAGCAAGAATTTGTTGATAAAACTGCAATATTCATTTTTCATAACTCTTGGAGATTTAGATTTTTTTCTTGAAGTCAGCTGTAAATACACTAAAGCAAGTTTTGATAATGATGAATAAAAATATCAGCCCACTATACCAAGAAGTATGTTAAGTATTTGACTAGTTATTATAGACAAAAGCACTCTGTATAATCTTAAATTTCATTTGGACGAATTCTGCCTATGTTGAACGGATTGCATATCTTACAAACATTTTAAAAAATCTGAGAACATCTCTTTTTTTTACTTGAGGTCATTTTTGAGATTTCTTTTTGCTTCAAATTAATAAACTTGACTAAATAAATATCTGCTCTTAGAGTATTTTCATAACTTCTAGAATTTCTAGCGAGAAAAAAATGATATTTTTTTTCGATATTGGAAATTATTTACTATTATATTATTATGATAATAGTAGATTCGAATGTCATTCAGAAAATCATCGAAAAACAAACTAAATATATTTATATCATGTAGGTTAAGAAATTCTACGAAAGAATTTGTAAGTTATATTATATCAATTCGATATTATTGTTCTTATTTTCATTATTGCTTTAACAAATATGTTTATGTATGATAATAATTCCTTTTCGTTACTAAGAAAACAGATCTAAAAACAATTTAGAATTTGGAAAAAAATCAAAAAAATTTTTTTGATAAAACTATAACGAGGTTTCATCATTTTAATGAAAGTCTCTTTAGTCTGATGAAACTACTTAATGTATTAAGATGATATTGTATCACAAGTATCAAACATGGCTGATGAATGATAGTTTATGCTTAATTGAAAAAAACGATTTACTTTTATAAAAAAAAAAGTTATACAATTAAAAGAGCAGCTTAGACACAAATCCTAATTAATGTATTATAGAGATCGTTTTTCAACCTCTATCATGAAAAACTTGAAGTGCACACGACTTTAAGCATCTTGATATTTGATTTCATCATTTTTTTTCTTCTTTCGAACACCCTTTATCATACGAAAGTGAGCTGAATATCGCTGAAAGAATCGTAAGGTTTCCTTTTCAAATTCTAATACTAAACTAGAACATTGAAATCTCCTTAAAATTTCATGTTAAACAGTTTTCTCTTCCTCGACATCGAAAGCATTTCCTTACGGTGTGCTTTTTTTTAATAACTACGTTACAGAAACACTGTCTCATTTATAGTACTTTCCCGTGTATGAGAGACAAAAATCTCTTCGATAATGACAATCTGTATTCTGTTTCGTTCATTGTAATAATTCCTAATATTCCAGAGAAGTTGTCCTGGGTGCTGATTAGGATCAACATTTGTATACTAAACAGAGATGAACAACTACACTCTATCTCTCTCCAACCCCACATAACTCCAGTCCTATTTTCTAAGATCCTACTGCAACTTCAATTCGAGTCGGATTTTACAAAACTGAACTTCTGCCAAAACACTCTTAAATACACATAAGTTTTTGAACATAATTAAATCTACGATTGATATAAATTAGTAGCATATTAATTTATTGCTTTATAAACTTTCTCATAAAATTTAAAGATAGGCATCTCCATTCTGTCTTGTTCCTACTCCATTTTCACTCTGATGAGAAAAAGCATCAACTTTGAAGTTGGAATTGCCCATCTCTGATATCAACCATTTCAAAATACTTACTCTTCAGATCCTCCTGAACATATCCATAACATTCGAGCTTACAGAAGACTTCTCAGAACAAGTACTACATAAGGATTACAGCATGATCCTGATAGAAGATACTCATTATTTTTAGATTTTCAGATTTTGACAGAGTATCTTATTTAGTCATCAAGATTCTGTTCTAGGATCCTAACACAATGGTTTGAAGATGGTGTTCATCAAAAGTTAAAAATAGCATTTTAGAACACTTTCTTTTCAAAGCCCATAAAATCCATAGATCCCAATGTTTGTCACTGGAGAGCTCCCTTCGGATTGACATCCATCTTTTCAGCATTTGCAAAAGTAGAAGCCCTCTCAGATTACATAGATTCGCGTGGAATCCTCTCAACTTTGTTCAGTTTCGCCTGTATCCAAACCTTATCATGATTTTACTCAGAGTACATCACGGTTGTTCTTCGAACAGCTTCACATAACTTATCAAAAGCCTTATAAAATTTCACCGGCATTCTCTATGCAAGTACTTAGGCGATTCTTCGGCAGATCTACATTCATTTTACAGAAAATCATGTATCCTTAAGGTTTCCTAAAAACCATAGGAATTAGTTTTGATATTTTGTTGTTCAACAATTCGATATTCTTCTCACAAGATACAGATAGAATCTTCTCTGATGTTTATATAAATGATCATTCTGCCAAAAAGATTCTGAATTCTTGCACTTCTGAAAAAAATCTTCAGATCCTTATGTTTTTCTATCAAAAACTTACATGGAATTAGTATTACTCTTTCTTGGAGAACCTCCTTACAACAATCTCAAGGTGTTATTTTTATGATCAAAAAGATCTTGGCAACCACTAGAAGTAACATAGATGTACGTATCGTTACCAAATCCTTTTTTCTCATAAGAAACTAGGAAAAGACTTTTGAATTTTTATCTGTGGAATGAGCATTCTCAAAGATGAATTTCATATTTTGTAGCGCTTGCTGTCACGAGAGATGGAATCCTTTCGACAACGACGATTTCTTTTCTTTTTTGTTCGTTGTAGTAATTCTCAATATTCCACTCGATGTCCGATGGAAACAGAATGGAGTGACTGTTGCTGGAGGTCATGGACAAGGCAGTGCTATCAATCAACTCTGGGGCCCTCATGGCCTCTTCGTGGATGATGATCAAACGATTGTCATCGCTGACTGGGGCAATCATCGTATCATCCAATGGCAGATGGGTGATACGAATGGACAAGTAGTAGCTGGTGGTAATGGCAAAGGAAATCGATTGGATCAATTGAATTTACCAACCGATGTGTTGATCGACAAAGAGACGGATAGTCTCATTATTTGTGATTGGGGGAATCGACGAGTCGTACGATGGTCTCGTCGTAGTGGTACAACTCAAGGAGAAATCCTCATCGACAACATCTGGTGTTATGGATTGGCCATGGATGATCAGAGATATCTCTACATCTCTGACACCGACAAAGATGAAGTAAGACGATATCAAATAGGAGACAAGAATGGAACTATTGTGACTGGTGGCAATGGCGAAGGTGCTGGCCTCAATCAACTCAACTGGCCGAACTACATCTTTGTCGATCAACAACAGACTGCCTACGTGTCAGACGGGGACAATCATCATGTAATGAAATGGAATAAAGGTGCAGAAGAAGGAATTGTCGTCGCTGGAGGTCAAGGCTATGGGAATGCTCTGACACAATTGTATCGTCCTCAAGGACTGTTCGTCGATACATTGGGTACCATCTATGTGGCAGACTCGGGAAATCATCGAGTAATGCGTTGGCCGAACGGAGCGAAACAGGGCACTGTCATTGTGGGTGGAAATGGTTACGGAAAAGAAGCAAATCAGTTCGGCTCTCCCACCGGTTTGTCCTTCGATCGACATGGCAACCTCTATGTTGTCGACCATTGGAATAATCGTGTTCAACGATTTTCAATTGAATAGACTCGTCGTGATAGATTTTTTTTGCGTTCCTTCCCTTTCAAATAAATTGCATTGAATTGATGAAATGAATGTTTATTCTATTCGCGCGCGCGCCACCAGGAACCATCCTGGTGGAGCCGTGGCGAGCATAACGTTCATGCACGCACAGGACAGACTCATATCATTCATACCCTCCCCGCGAGAGATATGTCAATGAGCCTGAATAAGCCTGGTCGTGTGCCACGGACACCAAGACAGTTCCTGGCCGAGTTTTTAAGGCCTACCCGGAAGGCCTGTAACCAACGGGGACCTAACCTCAACGGACATAACTCACCCACTCTCTAGTAACACTCACTTTTCTTAGTCTCATACTAATCCTCTCAATCTCACTACCTATTCTCATCTCAAACAAAAATAAAATTACTTACCGTGTCTGATGTTGATGACGCGATGATATTGATAGCTGAAAGGAATAGAAAAAAAAATTTAATCAATGTTATTTAATGAAATAGAATGAGATGACTTACCCTAATATTATCTTTTTCTTCATTGTTTATTCCCTAAAATAAATAAAAAAGTAATAAAAAGATCAAAGGAGGCCTTACCCCACCATCCTTATAATCGTAAAATAAAAAAAAATAAAAAAAAAAGTAAAACTAATACCTACATTTCATTTTATTGTCTGGTTTGTTGTTGAATTGTTTCATATTGTTTGGTTGAAGCCAATCTAAAACAGAAAAGAAAAATGATTATTATTTGATTCAAAAATTTGAATGATTTTACATAGAAAATCATTCGTATATATACCTTGAAAAATCATTTTTTTCTCTCGTCGAAAATGATATACATATTTAATTGTACATGTTGATCATTGATCGTCAATGATAACAACATGAACAATGACTTATGGACGAGAGAAAGACAAAAAAGAAAAGAGAAAATTCCTCTCTTCACATACATCTCTTTTTTCTTTCATTTCTCTCTTGTTAACATTAACATATATAATGATTTATTTATGAATTTTTTTAGATTGTATCTCATTTGGAATGAAAATGAAATTGTTTTGTTTATTTTTATTAATGATACTCAATAACAACATTTATGTATAATTATTTTATTTGTTATGATAAAATACAAAATATATTACATCAGACGAACTATTACTTAAGTAGAACATACTTAATGTTAAAAAAGTTGATTCAATTTCATAGACTGTCGAAAAAAATAAAACAATGGAAGTTTTTAAACACTTAAATTTTTACAATAATATTCTTTTTGGATGAACATATCTAAATATCAACAAAATTTTAGATCAAAATAATCCATTACAGAAGTTTGAAAAAATCTTTCTTTGTTAGGTGAATTTATTACAACAGAAAAGAATGAAACAAGATATATTCTTCTTTTGAATAAAAATTTATTTATATCGACATATCTATTCTATACACATCAAGATCAACAAAGAAAAAAGATTAAAAAATGTATATATAATAATGTTTTTAGTGATTTGGGGAATTTTATGTTTAATGAATAATGTTGATAAATTCATGTGTACAATTAATTTAACTAATAATTAAACAACAACATCGTCGTATTTCTTCATTATTATTATTTTCATCATCAACATATGATTAATAGTCCATTACTTGATTTATTATTCAATACAACTATTAAAACGAAAATATGAATTAATACTATACCAAATTCGGAAACATTTTAATATTAATAAAAATGAGTATGTATTAGATGACAATATTGTTATAAAGAACAAAATATTAATATATATAATTAGTATTTAATTGGAATGGAATATAAGAGAAATCGAATGAAAATTAATATTAATTTTACAATGTTATTAAATATTATTCAAGTAAGATAATTATTCAATGAAATATATTTTACTAGTTAAAAAAATTATAGAGCCTGTTGAGCTACTTGTGAAAATATTCTGTTGTTATTAGACTCGACCAATGTTATTATCGCAAAAACTATATTTGCAAAAAAAAAAACATCATAAAATGATTAAGTATCAACAGGCTCAATATCTTTCCAAGATTTTACTAGTCATATGTTTAAGAAAAAAATCTATGTGTAGTTTTTCTACAAACATTATTTGATTGTTCGATACGATAGCAAAGTCTGAATACGAACTCGCTTCTCAACAATCAAACAATAGTTTTCAAAAAGAATGCATAAATTTTTTTCTGCTTGTTTATCAGTCGAATAAAGTCATTAGAAAAAAATTATCGAGTGTAACGAGATTTGATACCTTTGACGTATTTCAATTTTCATAGACTATTATGGAATTCTTCTCGTACAAAACCAGGGTTGCCAGATCGAAAAGTTAGAAATCGAAATGTTTTAACCAAAATTCGAAAAAATTCGGAATTTTTTATATTCTACTTCGGAAAAAGTTCGGAAAGCAGTTGTTTTACTATCAAATATATATACCACCTTTTTTATGGACATATGTGTTGCTCTATCAACATTTACTGAATAAATATGTCTGTATATGGTTAACTTTTAGTGGTCTTCATAAAGCAAAGAAACGAGTAAGTGGAGCTTTTTTATTCAATCCAAAACCTAATAAACATTTAACAAAAAAACATAAATTGTCCAATTCATTTATTAGAAGATGAATGGTCGAATAGTTTCGATTCAAGTGAACAAATGAGTGTATCATCAAGACAAGTAAGTATTTCAAATGAGAATTTCTCATAATTAAACTAATACATTCAGAAAATTCCGACTCATTGAACAACTGAAATCAATTAGAAATGCGTGTGCTTATAAAGACTAATGCTTCAGTAGAAAGATTGTTTAGCTTAACTGGATTGATATTTACTCAATGATGAATAGGTTTATCATTAAGTCAAAACTTTCAAATATCTTATTTATTCTTTCTTGTTGTCTATCTATTGATATTGATTACATTTTGAATAATTAATATTTTCAATTTGTGTTATTCAGAGTATGAAATACTAGAATGACTAAATATTTTGATTGGGTTTTTTTCTTTGTTTTAACTGTAGTGATATATTAAATGATGAAACAAACGAACGAAATAAGAACTATTGTTTGGTTCAATGGGTGCAGCTATGAGGAAAGCAAAAGTGACTTCTACTGAATTACTTTTAAAGTGATTCAAAACTAACTGTATTGAAGCCCGAATGAAAATTTAATAGATGAACAATTCATACAATTGTGCAGAATTCTATAATCATCTCTAAAGTTATCAAGATAACATAAAGTACAAAAGCCTTGATACCAATTATTCCTTTATGTATTGCTGGGTTAAACTTGCATTAATTGGTGTTTGTACGGAACAAAATTAATATTTTCGTCATTCATAATTTGTGTAAATTTATCGTGCAATAGAATTTCAGTCTTTTTTTTTCTGCTATGTGAATATGTAATTAGATAAAGGATTTTGTAGAACTAACTTCATGGTATACAGTTAGATTTTGAGTTGAATAACTTTTAGCTAAAATAAAAGAAAAAATGAACCACATGAAAGTTTTGTATTGATTTCAGTTTGGGGTTGTTTCAAACATCTGCTTATATTATGGAAAGTTTGAATTAGAAATAACTCATGAGTACAGATTTTCAAAACAAAATGATCTGAAATTCTAATAAACTGTATTTTCGAAATTCACTATTTTCTCTTTTAAATATCTAAAACAAGAAGGATCACTTTGTTGTAAGCCTTTACAGTAGAGGTTCTGATTTTGACAAATTTTAGTTTTCTAAAATATGAATTTAGTGATCCTGATCTATGGTTGCCCACGAAGAAAAAACGCTTCAAGTTACGTGCCATCGCGAAGCTGGTTGCCTCATTTTGGACAGTCACAATCTGCAAAAGCAGTATATAATCAAATGTTCAATATAATTCTTCAATAATGTGGATCACCAAACATTATTCAAGACATCATCAAAATTTTTTTTACTTTTTAGTTTAGATATTAAAAAGACGAGATCAAGTTTTAAATAAAATCTTATCAAGAACTTTTCCCATCTGTCGAAGGACAAACATCAGATGAGAATAAGAAAATTTGACTGTCGAAGTATTGTTATTCCGAACCTTCGTTCTCCACATATCGAAATTTTACTGAATCTTTCATCATATAAACACGTAGTCCGCCTCAAATCATCTAGAAAATAGAATTTCGACTTTAAATTTTGCGCAAACAAAGTTCTTAACGATATTTGTTAATATGGAAAATATCGAATATTCAATATTTCAGGATAGGAAAAAAAGAACTAGAAAAGTTACAACTTGTTCAAAGAATTAATTTCATGTTCATGCAAAATTCGAATTCGAAAGTCGATTTTTCATTTGACCTGAGTAGGACTACAGATTTCTGTTGAAAAATAAAGAAAGCCCGGAAAGCAAAACCATTCTAAACTTTTCTATTACTCATTGAATGAACATCATCTCACTCGAAAAACATATTGTTGTTTCAAGTTGAATTTTTATTCGTTCTATTTTGATTGATATGATCTATTTGCCAAAAGAATTTAACAATATTTTTTCAATTTCGACTTCATTTATCTCTTTTTTTTTAGGATCCATTTACGAAAACTGTTCATCATTAGGATTCGTCGTCATTTATACAATTCATTCAAGAGCGTAAGTTCTTTGAAAATTACCTTTAATTCTTTCATTTGATTTCTATACTTTTACAACGAATGTATAAACTGATAAAGAAATGACTATCTTTGTTTTCTCAAAACACGAAAATTCATATGTTATTATCCTTTTTTGTTTCTTGTCGATGATTAATCTACTTTTCGGAATAATCTTCTGGAATACCATTTTTGTTCGTAGTATTTTTTTTTTCCTTTGTGCAATGATCAGATGTGATGCAAAATAAGAACTGATAATTGAAAGAAGAAAACAATGCATTTTTATGATAAATGAATGACTCATCTTTTATAGTATATGAAAAACTTTAGACTACTGTAGAAGCATCCGTTGAAGAAATCGATTTTAATCGATCGTCAGAAGAAGTTGAGAAAGC